GACACACACGCAGAGACAATGGGGTGGAGAGGATGAGAGGCAGAGAGAGAGAGAGAGGGGGGAAGGAGGGGCTTCATGTTTTTTAAAAAAATAACTATTGTCTTATTAATTTATAAACCAGAATATTTTCGTTAAATAAAGCGGTCTTTAATCACTTACTTTCACTGACAGACACGCGTCGGCTTTGACCAGATGGCGTAGCTTGAGTTAGCTAAAATAAAAAAATAGCTAAAATAAAAAAATAAAATAAAATAAAAATAATTTAGAACAGGAACCGGAAATTGTTAAAACAGGAAATACGTCACAGATGTAAACAAAAATGGTCGATTCATTCTTATACTCACCATTTGAAGCTGGACGTCCGTGTCGTTTTGATGAATTTTCACCTCGTCGGGTTCTTTTCTGCTGAGACGGGGCCGTCGAAGCAGGGACGTCCTGATTTTGGTGATTATCCCCGGAAGAGACGACCGTTGGCTGGGGTTGAGATGGAGCACGTCGTCCAGAAGCAGGAGGAGCAAACCTGGGAGCGGGACCAGAACCACTACCAGACGCACCTGTCGCTGCCGCGCCTGATCTGGGATCTTGAAGACGGTGATTCTGCAAAAGCGGTGAGTTGGCAGATCCACGATGCAAACTCTTTTTTATAAAAGCCCCATTTAGTTTCTTTGGGTCCGCTGTCTGATACAGAAAAAAAATACAAATATTCAGATGATGAACCTGATAGACAAAAAAAAAAAGGACAAACAGATGGTGTCAATAAAAAAGGAGACTTACTCGTTATCTGATCAAGACCAAAACAAATAAATTCTTGATCATCATCATCAGAAAGAATGGCATGGATCTGCGCGGTGGTCGTCAAATTCTGCGCTGAGAAAAAAAATAATTAAATTTTTTTAAAAGCAGATAAAAGAAATATGAATTTTTTTTTGTTAAATTAGCAAATAAACTTACCGGCCATAGTTTTCTCCTTTGTTTATTGACGAAGTAGTTCTGTTTACAAGGATGCAAAAGCAAAAATCAAGAACACGGATGGAAGGCTCTGGCTGGAAATTTGCGTGCTTCAGGCAGGTGAGAGGCTTGCAAATGGACACTGGTCCTCCAGGTCTGCATTTATAGAGAAATTTTTCCCACCTTTTTTTCTCAAACAATGGCGCTGCATAATTGCAGAAAACAATTGTCCTTTTGAAGGATAAAAGTTATAAAGTAAAACAAAGCATCAGTTGCAATAGAAAGTGTTTTCTCATGACCTCAGAGGTCAGGCTGGTCATTGGTCAGGCGAACAGAGAAAGAATAGGAGAATGATTGAATGCCTTGTGTCTTATGATCGGAAAGGAGAAAAAGACAAATTTTTTCGTGCCTTTGTTCAACTATCTGTCCTTTTGAAGGATAAAAGTTTTTTAATCAGAGCGGGAATACACGTTTTGACCACAGAGGTCAAAGTGTTCAGGTTCGTTGACCGCTGTCATGGTGGCCTGCCATACAATGGGACAGCGAAGAGAAGGGGGGAGAGGGGGGTCATGTGTGTGTGTGTCTGTGTGTGTGAGACACTAATGTCTTGAAGGTGTGAGGACATTTCTATCTACACACCAGCAGACTTATTGAGACCGCTTGTCTATTATAAATGCATCACAGTGATCCAATCGAGACAAAAAAAGACACGTTTAAAATGATAATAATAATAGTGAGGATGTGTGTGTCTCYGTTAGCTGTCCTCTCTAGAGCTTGTAGGTTTTTCTGTCTGATGCTGGGATGGTTGGAAGATGAAGACCAGGAAGTGGATTTTTAAGTGGCCTAAAGGCTGAAGCATCTTTAACTCTAACAGAGACTCTTGTACATTTTTCAGTTGATGAGTGGGGAATCCGAGGAGTAAGGAGAAACAGAACACTCTGACTTTGAGGTCAGGCTCAGCCAGTCTCACAGTCAGCTGGTCAATAGGACAGTGAAGAGAAGGGGGAGCTTCGTGTGTGTGTGTGTGTGTGTGTGAGTGAGTGAGTGAGTGAGTGAGTGAGTGAGTGAG